GGGTGAAAGTTATTGGTTGTTGGTGACAACCAAACTTTAATGTTATAGCCCCAGAAGATCACCACTTGCCACATTTGCAACTTTATTTCCTGTTTACGACAGCCATGCGTAACGTCAGCTTCTGACGTAATTACATTTTTGAGTTGCCTGGTTGATTCGCTCCAAGCTACTATGGAAACACACCTGATGTGCTTCTCTTTGAGAAAAAAAATGTTACAGCCGGCCAACCAAGCTCACATTTTATTTATTTATTTTTGTTTAAATGCTAAGATCGCTATGCTAGCACCACTGGATTTGAAAACAATTCAACTGGTAAATTTACGTCGAGCAGACCCAGTGTATCGTCTCTAAACTGATTTGTGTTACACTTTCCTTTAGGATCGTAGGTGACAGTCTTCATAAATATCTCAGCTTTAAATCTGCTTCTTGAGCTTCTTGAATTTGCACAATCCCAACTGTGTTTTCATAGAAACCTCATCATTTTATCTGTCGACCTGTGACCCTGGAAGAGTTAGGCTCTGTTAGTGATCATGGTTTATTTTTATGGAGGTCCACAGAATTCCGAGACCCAATTTTGAAACTAATGAGTTTGTAAGAGCACCAACAAACATCATGAAGTTTCTGATCACCTGAGACACACAGCAGCAGGGAAGGATTGTCATAATGTGCCCCAAGCAAGCATTACAGAACCCCGTGATTTCTGCAATGCAATCTACAAACAGGTACTGGACCCTTTACAACACATCCTCTACCTGGTCTTGATGACTGGAATCATACGGATTATAGGTTCACCGTCTCAGGCCATTAACACCAGAATGGAGACGGTTGCATTTGGAAAGGTGAAGCCAACAGTTACATGTGACCCTCATATAGCAGCAGCAGGAGGAAAGAGCATTCCTGCTACGGTTGTGAAGAAACACATTAACTTTACTCCTGGCATCTACGGAGGAGCAGGATTTGGGTCACCTCTGGTATGAATTCAAGAGACCCTGACATCACAACAGTCACTTGCTTCATTTTCATGTCTTAAGGCTGAATTTCATTACGTTGTGATATTTGAAGACTCAAAAATTGCAAGAAATTAAGCCAATTTTCATTTAAAGGTGGGGTACTCTGTATTTTCCAGGCACATGTTAATTTCAATACCACAAACTGTTACCTTCAGGTGTTATAAAACTTGTTTAAATCAAAAAATAAATTTGACTTCATCAAAGCTAAACTTCTTGAAATTGGTCTCCATCTCTTTAAGAACCTCCTTCCATTTCTGACACTACCACTTCAGCACATTTTCAAACAATGTTTCAGGGGGAGGGGTGCTCTGTGCTACAGGGAGGAGCTTGTACCAGCAAGTGTTTATGGCTACCACAGGAGATTCAAGGATTTCTCAAATGTGCATAAACGAGTCAAAGCAACACTCTGGGTATGTTTTTTGATGACATCATTACATGATAGAAAGTTTAAAAAAAGTGGATTTTGCTGAAATGAAGATTAGCAGATCTGAACCAGTTTTTCGAATGACTTTTGGTTTTAAGAGWGCGACAGTTTGATCTGGACGTGCACCATTTTATTTTCTCGCCTGTCACCAACACTGAAGCGTTGCTCTGTAGTTTCTGCATGCAGCTCCTCTTCAGCGGCAATGAATTCATATTCATAGAAAAATAATCACAGAG